AAAACCTCAGAAAATTTATCTTTGTGAAATGGAGGGAGTAGTATTTTGCAGTCGTTTTTTCATTAGTTAAATTATTTTTATTATATATATTAAAATAAAAGTAATTTCTTAATATTCGCACTGTTAGCAAAAACAACTTATTTTGAAACGGAAGGAGTATCGTATACATAAAACGAATCCCACTTATAGCCTTTTCGAATCTCCATCCGTCCATCGGCTCTTACGAAGTCAACTTTCGTATCTCTATATAAACCAATCTTCTCCTTTTGTTCCCTAAACACAAGACCACAACCAAAAATCATATACAAAATGGCTGATGGTTTTGGTGAACCGGGAAGCTCAATGCATGGAGTCACCGGCCGAGAACAAAGCTATGCGTTCTCGGTTGAGTCTCCGGCGGTTCCTTCCGACACATCAGCAAAATTTTCTCTCCCCGTAGATACTGAACACAAAGCCAAAGTTTTCAAACTTTTTTCATTTGCAGCTCCACACATGAGAACTTTCCATCTTGCTTGGATCTCATTTTTCACTTGCTTCATTTCTACTTTCGCTGCTGCTCCTCTTGTCCCCATCATTAGAGATAACCTTAACCTAACCAGACAAGATGTTGGAAATGCTGGTGTTGCCTCTGTCTCCGGAAGCATCTTCTCTAGGCTTGTTATGGGAGCGGTTTGTGATCTCCTTGGGCCACGTTATGGCTGCGCTTTCCTCATCATGCTCTCGGCTCCCACCGTCTTCTCCATGTCTTTCGTTGCTGATGCTGGCGGGTAAGCATGCTTGTAAATTGTAAAATTGTGCAAGTCTTAAGCTCAAATTCAAATAGTTTAAAATGGTCCTATATATGTAAAATGTAAAATTAGCGAGAACGATTCTAAAAGCGTTTTTTTTGTTAAAACTCATTGATTTTCACCTCAAAATTTATTGGTAGTAAAGTGATTGTATATAAGATTCTTTCGTTGTGTAAGAGATATATGCCAATCGGTTTGTTACTAACCGATTTTGAGTTAAAAGTCATGAAACTTAGCAATGTGGAATTCTTAACATTTTCTTGGTCATAGATACATAACGGTGAGGTTCATGATCGGGTTCTGCCTCGCGACTTTTGTGTCATGCCAATACTGGATGAGCACAATGTTCAACGGTCAAATCATAGGTCTAGTGAACGGGACAGCGGCCGGGTGGGGAAACATGGGCGGTGGAGTCACGCAGCTGCTCATGCCGTTGGTCTATGAGATCATTCGACGATTAGGATCCACGTCCTTCACCGCGTGGAGGATGGCTTTCTTCATCCCCGGGTGGATGCACATCATCATGGGGATCATGGTCTTGACTTTAGGACAAGACCTCCCTGATGGTAATAGAAGCACACTCGAGAAGCAAGGTGCTGTTACTAAAGACAAGTTCTCAAAGGTACTTAGTAATTAATATAAAGTAACAAATGTTAACGTCTTCTTGGATCCTCTGATGATTAAACTTAATAATATGTTAAAAGCCTATTGATCGTTTTCTAAATCTAAGACTTTCGTGTTATATATTAATGGTTGTTCTGATAGATCTTAATTAGGTCAACATTTAGATATATACAAATAGGTTAATCCAAGAAAATAATCTGATTCACTCTCTTTAAAATTTAAAAGCGAAATGCTTATACTACCTAATTAAGTGATTATTTCAAGGGTAATAATTTATATAATCTCTAAATGTTAAAGATATTCTTTCACAAGTTTTCTCTCTTTTGTGTTAAA